CTGTCTATGCCATTGTCTATGCCAGCCTGAGCCTGCCGCAAATTCAGGTTCAAGAAGGGCAAGTGCCAAAGACAGCACTGAACGATTCTGCGCGCGCGCTCCGTGAGATTCCTGTGTCCCTCCCCCGAATTTAGCACCCGTGCAGCAAGCCAGCCTGATGTGAAAATGGTGCAATCTGGCGCATCCTCATCCAACTGAAGCCAAAACTGCGCCGACTCGCCGCAGCAGCCCTTGGTTCCGTGAAGATGCAAGGACTGTCCATGGTTGATCATTGAGGCACATGGCTGAGGCATGCTGAGGCTAACGTAAGACCGCGACAATCGTCTGGACAGCATCTCAGCACCTGTTCCTCGCAACGCGGACATCTACATCAATCTACACCAGGCTCCACCAGCTCCAGCCCTGCCCATTCCTGGATCTCTCGGAGTTGAGAGTTCCACTCGGTCTCTCGGGAAGAAACTCCAGTTCTTGATCCCGAAATGGCTTCGACAGCCACGAGCCAAGCTCTCAGTTGGCTTCGTCACGAACATCGAGATCATCTGATTGCAACTCATAGGGCACATGTCAAAGTATCCGCACCTTGAAAAAGCGATTCACACTTTCTCCTGGCCAAACGACAACGCTGTCGCGACGGCAAAACACAAGATTGAACTGCAGCACCTATGTTGCGCAGCATGTGCATAGCCACAAACAAGAAGTCCAGCCTCAGCTCAAAACTGGCTCACTCGTACTCTTAGGTCTCACAAGACGAGGCCCCTACTGCTGATTGCAAACCAGCTGGTATGCCAGCCTGCAGAATGATTGGCTTGGTACAAGATATTGCAAGATGTCCACATCCACAGGTCTTGAACAGTTCTTGAACCCTGTTGCATCGGCACAGATTTGAGCCTGCCAGCCGTCACTCTGAACTCCTCGAAAACATTGCCTGACCCAACTCCATCCACTCACGACACACCAAAACCGCTCACTGGCGGCTCCCGAGCTCAGGCGTGACCTGACCTGAACCCGCATCCGTCTCCTTCAGCTCATGGAACAAATTCAGCGCCGAGGATATTCCTCAGCTGGGCTGGGCTGCATGCCATGGGCTGCAGGGATCTCTGCACGCCCTTTTCGCTTCACAGCGCACAAGATTTACGCACGTAGGAACGTCGCGGCCAGTCATCAAAGCACTGCGTACGATGGCCTCTTTTGAGAGAGACGGAGCAAAGAGCACTTCCACGGACTGCAGCGGACTGCGCAGCTGTCATCATGGTTTGCCTCCGTGCCCTCGACGGTGCGCAGCTGAGACAGAGGTAAGGCCGGGCGCTCCTGGCTTGGCTCAGCATGACAAGGGCAGATGCTGGGAAAATAGTGTTTGAGTCTTCATTCAAAAAAGCCGTCGAAACATCGAAACATCGAAACATGCCCGCTGCACAGTCTGGAGCTTGGCAGGGAGCCTCACAACCCTCAAAACCCCGAACTCGCAGCCATTGCTGCCAATGATCTGTCCTTGACATCCTTGACCAATATATAACATACCATTGCCATAAAGATGCTGCCAGGAAGCGGAACTGTGTCCACGGCCATGCCCGTCTTCGAACCTACTACAGTCCCGTTCCAACTGAATTGCACACCGATGTTGGTGGTCCCTGTTGGCTCAGCGTCACACGTGAAAGGTCATCATGACGTCGGGCAGGACACTTCCTGTAGTACAGTCATGGGCTTCTCTCCATTTTTGCCAATGATGTAGCTAAGGCGAGCACACAACGATGCCACTGTTGCACGCAGCTTCCTCACCAAAGGATCGTACCTGCAAGAAGCTCAAACAACATGACACGGCCGCACTGCTGCACTGCCCTCCTTTGACAAACCCCCAAATACCAATCAAAAGACCACCGAAGCAGGCTGCACACCAGTTGTTGCTGGATGTTTCGCAGCGACTGCATGAAGACCTAGGAAGTGCACGGAAAGTGCCAAACATGGAACCAATGGCAACGATGAACTCACCAAGGCTGACGCAGTGAGCTGTGAAAGCTCGTATACCATCAAGGCATACCTTGATGGCATCGTTCTCTAAACATTCTAAACTCTGAAGGCAAGCAGCAGGCACTTTCTGAGAAAGCCGCCTCTCGGGTTCCGCAGACGCATGTGCTGGCTGCAAGTAGGTCAGAGCGCGGCACCTGCACCCGTCAGGACCCGGCCCACTTCGTGAGACCCTGTGGCATTCTGTCTCTCTTCAGCGATGCGTGGAAAGGCCCGCACGCACCGTTGCACCTCACAAGGTGGCAGTGCGAAACAGGTCTCCTACCCTGCGAGCTCCCCAAAAGCTGACCCACACGCACTGCCAGCACACTTCATGATGCAAGGCTTCACGTGGTTTCAAGTGGCTTCACGCCGAGGATGGTGCTCACGGATCTGAACGACCCGGGTCTGCACCTTGGACGGCGGAAGGCGAGGGTGCATGCCCACTGGAAGATCCCGGCCCAAAGGCGAAAAAATCGGTGCAGGTGAATCAAGGTGCAAGCACGTGAAACCGATTCATTTTTCCTCCTCTGATTGCCGCCCTCTGCTCTCTTTTCAATCGTCCTTGGGGTGCCTGGTGCCATGCCACCTCAGGCAGCCCCGGTGCTGCTGACTGGCACACCTGCGAGGCTCTGTACTGGTGCCGTGCAATACACATAGATGACATAAATGCAACCGGCTTCCTACAAGGAAATGCTGCATGTAGTGCAAACAAAGCAGAAGTAAAGCGCCTGCTGCGAGTAGTAGTTCTGCATGATCTGCGCCTGCTAATTTGCGGATGCCCAAGTTTCACCTTTCAGCCTACGCGGCCTTGAATGCTGGAAGTCCTGCTCTTCTGATTGCCGTCCGACTTCATCTACTCCTGCTTCCTGCAAAGACAGCTATGGATGCAGCGTGCGTCTGCACCAAGCGTGCAAGCCTCGATAACAGAAGAGAATCTGTCATGTTTCTTCTCACGTTCACGTGACATCGTCAAAGGAGAGGTGCTGATTGGCGCATTCACGCCAAGGGCTGCGATTGATTTCATTTGTCTGTCTAGTGACACTAGCCCTTGGCCTCGTGCACAGGCCTCCTTGGGTCCAGACGCCTTCCGCAGGGCCCTGATGGATGATGCTCCTTTAGGTTGGCCACTCTTTCCCTGGTTGGGCAATTGTTGTGTTGGGGTTCTTGGCGAGGCTCAGGAACGCATAGCCGCATAGCCGTGCTATTTTCGGTTGTACTCGCATGTCGCTGCTCCTCCGCCGTGGAATGTTAGTCGTGATGTTTTGTTAAGCTCCAAAAAAAACTGGAACACTGCAAGCAGCGCAAAAAGGCAGCACAGACACCAGCCTCGGCTCGGGCCGACCATAGCTCCACCAGGCATAGAAGCTGAGTGCGTTGGAGAGCAGTGTGCACGCAGTCCTTACCAGAAGCACAGGATCCCGCAAAGCGAACTCATCTCAGCGGCACAGTCCTCACGAAAAGCGGCAGCGTGGCTGCCCATCCTTTCGCGGAAGGGTCGAAGAGGAAGCGCCTGCGGATGATCTTGCAAGAGGAAACAGCAGGCGGGCGCAAACCGCGGCACACTGCTGATTCAAGTTCTCTTTTGGGGGGTTTGAATCGTTTTGAACCGTAGGCACGCAAAAAGCCAACGCGCGATGCCAGAAACGATGTTGTCCACAGCCTTGGGGCTGCACTTGAAGCGAGATGCCAGGCAAAAGCGCTAAAGCGGAACCTAGGGCCCGGACGGTGAGCAAACCGTTTGCCGATGCCTGGGCCTGCAAGTGGGACCGAGGCGACGAACCGAAGAATTCACCGAGGCCTCTCGCCGATGCCTTGAGGTTTAAGGCAAAAAAACTGTTGAGAGAAACCCTCCTAAAGCATGTTTGGGAGCTCTGTTCCAAGGTTTAGTTTAAGGAATGAGTCTGCTAATGAAGCTCACGTCACATTCCGAAGGGTCTGTTGAGGCTTGGCAACTTGCACCTTTGAGCCAAGGCGAACTAAACTTCACTGAGCCGCTACTACGCTCACAAGGCCTGCGCCGGGAACTGCGAGCTAAAAAAGGCCGCATCAGCTCCACCATCTCCAGGGAAAAAGGCCAGAAGGCACCTCCATAGTTGTCGTCTTGTCGAACCAGCACCCTACTGTGCAAGTTCCCTGTAGTGAAGTGCAAAGCTAAGCAGTTGGTACAATCCTATAGCTGTTCCCTTCCGCAGCGTGGGATTAGCTCAGAAACACGCCGCGCATTGACTGCTGGGATTGGTGGGGCGTTTTGCTTGTGTTGTTGAGTGTTGCTGTGAGCCCTGCAAGTTGTCGGGCTGAATGAAGGGCTGAATAAAGGGCTGAATGAAGGGCTTGTGCTGCATTGTAGCTATGTCAGCTATGCGCATGCTTGCTTATGAACAGAAACCGCGCAGAGAATTCGCAAAAGCGATGCAGAGGTTCACATGGATTCGATCTGGAGACGTGAACAAACGGCTGGCCGGAGGCTCATACTGGCAATGAAATGTAATGAACTTACGGGAAGGAGAATATCTTGCAACATTCACAGCTGAATGCTTGTCTAACTGCAAACAAGCACTCTCGCACAAGTGTGTGCTCAAAGAGTGCAAATTTCTCGACCATCACACGGATAGCACGTAAGAATAAGCCTCAGCGCATGTCTACGAGAGTGATTTGAGTCTCTTTAGCTGCCAGTCCATGAAACTCTGAAAACGTGCGCAACCGTGTGAGCATCTTGGGGGCAGAAACATCGTCTCTTTCAGGGCATGACGCTACGCTAGGCATGAGCACAGGCCCCCAGACCAGTAAACAGCCCTCTTGAAGACTCTTGATACAAGTCCGTGGATACAAGAGTGTGTCCTCTCAACTCGGACAACAAGACCAAACTGACTGCCGATTGCTGGCATGAGTACAGCATGCAGGCCGCAGCCCGTTAGCGCCTCGGGACCAGAAGAAATGCAGCACCGAAAGGTGCAAAAGTCTGGATCAGCAACCTCAGTGCTGTGGATCGGGCTTGTCCGGAGCTTGCTATCTGTTGCTTTCCGCAGATGTCTCAGTCGGGTGGCATGGCGGAGCCAAAGCTAAGGCTTGCTTGCACAAACCAGAAGCTATTGGCCGGGTCTTTGGCCCAATGGACCATGAGACCACTCGTGGCCATGCCCCAGAACTCTCGGAAGCTGCTGATCGGCACGTTGATCAGGTCCCAGTCTCCAGGCCCCCATCCTCAAAAACCGAAGGGCCGAGAGCTCACCAGAGAACGTACCGGAAGCCGCGCTACAGGCTACAGGCCCAGAGCCAAGTCTGAGGCCAGCGCCAAGGTTCGAGATCATGAAAGAATCCAAGACCGATTCCCAGCCATTGCCCAGCTGCAAGAGCAGCATCTGAGCAAGGCGAATCTGCAGAAACTTGGAATTCCGAAGCAGCGCGAATGGCGAGGTCAGCTCCTTGAAGCTGCTTCTCAGCAGACCTACAGGGCGGCACAGGGAACCACAACAGACTGGCTCACGAAGGTTCATGAAGGCTCACCATGTTCGGCCACAGCCTGAGACTGAAGTATCCAGAAGCCTGCCCTGACTTGGTAGAGTCTCCTCTAGCTGAACGTAGCAGACCAGAAGGATCACCAGGCCAAGCAGGCCCGCAAGCAAACAGAGTATCTCAAAGTGCATGAACTGTATCCTCAGCAAGCATGCGGAAACACACACACACACACATGCATGCTGCCACGGCTAGTGTGCTTTCCGGCCCTGTGCCACACTGTTTCACAGCATAAGAACAGCTATACACATCGCGGCGCACAGCGCTGCACGATAAGAAGCCCAATGCCTTTCTGCAGCTGGATAGCTTCTGGATCCAGATCACGAAGCACAGCGTCAGGCCGCGACTCAGGACCTGAAAGGCGCTGAGCAGACAATTGGAGGCAAGAGATGCAAGAGACTTGCAAGAAAAAGCAAGCGCGGGAGTAAGAGAGACTGCAAGACACTGAGAGAGACTGAGAAAGACGGAGAAAGACTGAGAGAGACGGAGAAAGACGGAGAGAGATGCTAAGACTAAGAGAGACTGAGATCGGTAGTGGAAAGGCAGGAAAGGCCAAAAAAACAGCAATGCTTTCTCACAGGTTGATCGCATTCCACCTGCTTCCGATACAGCGGCAAAGTCTGGTCAGTGCATATCGATCGTTCTTTGACATCACCGAAGTAGAACGGGTTTCGCACGAGCATCCGACAAATACAAAGATGTTCGGTGGATGTGAAGGACAGGCCGCACTCTCTCCCATCGCAGGTGGCGGCGTCCGTCACATGTGGCCAATGTAGCTCAAACTCCACAGTCGAGTGAACGTGAATTCTGCTGGCTGTTACTCACACGTGCAGGGCAAGCAAACGAACCCTTCCTTTCGCTGCAACGGCGTGTGTGCAATCCGACTGTGCCATGTACAGCGGTACGCTTCTGACATGGGGGAGGTGTTGTCATTTCGAACGCGAGCATTCTAAAACGAGAGGCAGATGCTTTGCTACATACTCGTTAAGTACGTCGTTACCTGAAGCTGTGTGTGGACGAAGTTGCAAAGGTGCTATTCAAAGTATGCGGCAAGCGGCATCCACATGATTCAGGACCACGAAGCCCTTGGCACGCTGGTTTGGTGGCAGCTGGTCGGCGATGATCGCCTTGAAGCAGAGGCTGAAGGCTGTGGTGCACCCTTGGAGCGCCAGGGCCCCGGTGAGTATCCTCGACTCGGAAACACAGCAGTCACAGCAGTCATAGCAGTCGTAGCAGTCACAGCATATCCGACAAATTCCGACATAGACAGATCCGACAACATGGACAGAGAATGACTTAAAGTCTTAAATGTCTTAAGCGTTAATACGTCCTAAGGCAAAAAGCCTGCGAACCCCAAGCATTCTACAGCGGAGCTCAGGGCTGACTAGCATGATTAGCGCGAGGGCAGCTAGGCTGGCAAGCTTGTCAAGCTTCATGACCGGCGGGATCGTTGCCTGCATGCACGCCAGCATCATGAGCCAGGATGCCGCTGTGATGCCACCAATGCTTAGCATCAACACCGGCTTGCCTCAAAACTTCTCCGACACTACGCGGGCCCTATAAAAAAAAGCGGGGGAGGGGGGACAGGACCGGCAGGGGCAGATGCTGGAGGCGGCTGGGCATTCGGGCCGGTTTCCATCCCTGCAGCGAGCTTCTTCTATAGCCTCAACCTACATGTTCAACAAGAACAATTTCAAGTTGTTCTTCACTACCCGAAGTTTGTCTTGTAAAGCCGGCCAATGGAGTTAATGAAAACACGTTCAGAAACAGACACCCCTTCTAGGACTGGCCACCTGAAAGCCGGCCAGCTAAAAGCCGGCCGGCTAAAGCTGGCCCATGAATTCCTGCGGGGGGCTTTCGTGGCTTGGATCCGGTAGAGTGTAGCAGCGTAGTGATCTGGAAGGGTAAGAAGTATAAAACACAAAAGAGGAGTCACGTCAGTCGTTCCAAGGTCCAAGGCGCGGCCGTGCGTGTCGCAAAGGGCGCCCAGGAGAGGTCCCGAAAGCATCCGGCAGAGCAGCTTCAGCGCGACGAGCCACGCCTCCTGCTGCAGCGCAACGGAGATGACCAGGTTCCGGTCTCCGCAATGAAGGGACCCCGAGTACTCTCCGTCACCTCGAACGAGGCCGACATCAAGAAAAAGGCAGACACAGAAGCAGGCTGTCAGCAAGGCAGAAAGTGGGACAACATGAAGAAAGCAAGGCAGGCCATATCATGAAATGAGAAGCAAGCCGATAACGCAATGCTTTGCAATGAGGCCGACTCAGGCGCGCAAACCTTCAAACCGAACCTGCTCGTTTGTTGTGTCTCATGAAAGTCTCTTTGATGAAATTGCTTGATGGGAGCCGTTCTAAGATGATGCTCTTTTTGCCTCAATGATTCCACGTCAGGGTGCTGTTTCACTTCGTCCTTGCTCCTTCGCTTCCATGAAACAATGATGGGACGGCTGGCTATGAACATTCTGTCCATTGTGGCTTGCATGAACGCAAGTCAACACGTGCGGATCCCAAACACAGGACGATGGACCCGGACCAGTGCTCTGTCCTTGACATTTGCTTCTTGAGAGGGTTCGGTTTCAGGACGTTGCCCCTTCTCCTCCGCGCGATGAAGCTGCATGAGCCTCCCTGCTTGCGTGACTCCTCCGGCTGCTTTGGCCTGCCAAGTGCTCTTTGGTTCACCTGCCATGGCTTTGTGACTTCGACGTGCTGCTTCCTGACTTGGAGTGGATTCTTGACGTTGGCTCCCTGACTTTCTGACTTCTCTTACGGTTCCTGAATCCGGAAAGTCGATCCATGCTGCGGACATGGTGCTGACGGGCACATCGCAGGCCACCAAGCTGCGCAACAGCGGAAGGTAAAGTTTGATGCTAGACACCTGGCTCTCTTTCTCAGGATACATCACTACTTGAAGATTCATGATGCAGTCGTGCAGTGCGCTCATGTTGCGACAGGAGTTCGGGAGTTAGGTACCCCAGCCCCCAGTATTGAATTCAGAACTTGGATGTCATGATTCAAACGGACAACATAAGCGGATGCAGCACGTTGATGAAACCCAGTGGAAAGTAGATGGCGAAGGCTATCCAGAGCGTTGGCGGCAGGACCTAAGGAATCAGACCACTCAGAGGCTGCATTCGTGAAGTTCTTGCTTGTACTCAGTACAATGTACTGCATCATGACTACACGTGCTCTTCAGAAAGACAAGTGGCATATAAATCCCGCAGGCTTGCAACACCGGATGCGGCTTTGGAGCGGAGGCCTCGCAACATCACCTGGCCGCATCTTAAGCGTAAGACGTGTATTTTGCGAATAGCTCATAATAGCTCCATACTCCCTGCCTCCCGACCACCTCCGACTAGGAACCGGAGCTTGCATTGCGGAGAGGTTCACGCGATCCGCCTCTCAAGCACAAAACTGCATGGGTAGACGGCTCCACGGTGGCACACGCTCCTGGGGCAAACCGACATGGTGCTTCTGCGCGCGTGTGATTTGTTCAGGTGCTTCTGTGGATGCCTCAGGGGATGAAAAATTTGGAGGCCATTCGAGGCCTTGTGGAATGCAAAGAGGGTCTGTTGCAGTGTTCATAAACTTCTTAGCCTGCCAAAAGTGCTGCTGCACATGTGTTTCCAGTGATCTTGAGCCCAGTACTCTGGCTTTGCACAATCGAAGAATGCCTCGAAATGCGGCACTTTACACAAATTCACGACTCATCGCACGACTCACCCTCGCACGACTCCTCGCACTCGGTAAGCATCACAGACAACTTGGTCTGGCTCCTGTGTGTCCAGGGCAGAATTACAAAACGATCGGCGATGGCGTCCAGCGTCCAAATGCGCTCATTCGAGGAATTCGAGGTCCAGGGAGACTCCACGCTTGCCAGGGTCATCGCGATCACAGATCGTCACGGCACCGGACCTCACTTTGCCAGCTTCCTCGCTGCCACCACCCACTAGAGTCTGCACGTAACGGGAAGTCTGGTCAGAGTGGAACCACCGTCGCATCCTTCACACGAACGCAGCGGCAAAGTATCGGAGCACGACAGTCTTTAAAACATCATGCCAGCCGTCCTCGGGCTTCTCAATCTCGTGAAGGCAAACTACTCGAATCTCCGCCTGCTACAGCAGGGACAGCCCCCTCTCTTGCGCTGGACCAAGCCTTACATGGGAGCATCCGCGCCATGTATGGCTTCAGTACACAACTTGACCTCAGGAGTGTTTGGGGTATGCCTGCCTCGCTCATGCTTTGCCGCAGTTCCTCTGCAGCCTTCGCAGCAGCTTCTGTAGCCGGAGATGGCAACGCTTCCACAACCTCGCAGATTTTCTCCAATCTGGATAAGGAAAGAAGTTCGCGCCTTGACGCTCAAATCTCCCTGGATGCTCAGCAGTAGCCGCTCCTTGAAGCAGGTGTCGATGGGGAAGAGCACCTATCATCAGTTCAAAGAGAACAGGCTAGAAACGGAACTGTACAAAATTGGAATGCGAGGGCAGATCTATCACGTCTTATCATGTTTGATTATTCCATGCGGCTTCCGGAACTCCACACATCGGACCTTCGTGAAAATTTGTCAAGGGGTTCGCGCAAGTCTCGGTGGTAGAGGAACCCTTGTGCTTGAGCCCTCCGAATTGCTCTTGCAAAATGGGGGCGCACCTCTGCCTCGTACTTGCGCGCGCTCAGCTTGGCAACTAGACGTCCGCTGAAGGACTCCTTCGCAGCAGAGTTCTTGAAACACTTACAGAGTGCAACAAAACCACACCAACTAGAGTACTCTCCTGGATTACCAGCAGCGTTCTTTTGGCTGACCTGGTCGGGACATTCAAGCAAGAACTTGCCATCGTGTTTCTTCGGCTCGGGTGCCTCCCCTGGTTGGCTTGCTTGGCAAAGGCCAAGGCACCGTCCATGTCATAGGAGGTGCTGGTGAAGCCTGGCCTCGGATCACTTGTTCGCGGTTTCCAGACATCTCTGCCTCTCGGCCCCCTGGCCCTATACAAATAAGCTCACCGGCATCATCTTCAGAGAGGGGGGCACTTAGTCCGGGCTCGCACCCCTTGATTGTCTAAAGGGGGCACAGCAATAAAAAAGGGCAGGCGGCAGCAGGACTACGGATCCCACGGGCAAAGAAACTTCGCGCCGATGCCCACGATATAGCGGCTGTGTTGAAGTCAAGGCTGGAAGCTTCTGCACCGCACCATGCAGTACCTTCTCAATCAATGAGGATCGCATTTCAGACGGAAGCTGCCAGACCACATGACTCGAAGCGAACCAACATCAACTCCACTTCCTCGTCCCTCCCTTCTGCTGCAGAACACAATATAACACATCACCAAATTCCTGCTGACACCGACCCGGTTTCCACAGACCTCAACATGGCGCCTGGACATAGGGCATTACGTCTGCTCTGGAAAGCTTGCACATCGTCCTTTGGCCCTTCGGAAAGTCCTCAAACCTCAGCGAAATGGAACCGTGGAATCGTGTTGAGTGGAAATGCAGGAAGCTGCCACTGAGATCCACTGAGTCTCTCACTCGACCTCCTCTTGGCCTCGTGCGATAGGATTGATCAATCTGAAGTCCTGACATGGCACTCTACGATTGCAAGCGGAGATGATGTCACGAACAAACAAGGCCTACAATCAAAGCCTTTAATCTACAGAAAGGAGTAGAAAAGTTCTAAGTCGAAGTAAAGCAGAACAGGCATGGAATACTGCTATTATCAACCAGGCACCCCAGTTGTCCAGCCAAGTACTGCCGCCACTTCATGCTGCGTTAAGCCCATGGACTTGCCGACCTGCGAGTGTCATAGGATCATCTGGAGCCATATGAATCACATCTCAATATATCTCATGACGTTACTGGAGTCTCGCCATCTTGCGAGACAGCTCGGGCCTCCATGATGGAGGGAAAGCCTTCATTCTCCGCCCGCATCTTGTTCTGCGCATAGACCAGGCTCTTCCCCACAGTGCTGGCAGCGCTCGTGAAGAAGACATTGTTCAAGTTCAAAATACTTCAAAAGCTACTCCAAAAAGTCATCTTCGACGCTTGCCTGTCGCAGTTCTTCCACTTGTCCAGCAGCTCGAAGGCTCGCACATTCACCTTTCGTTTCATCATCACGAGCCCTCATTAAGGCTCGTTGCCGCGAGTGGCAAAGACCTTTCGCTTGACACTGCGATCTGCGGTGGCAGGGCTCACTTGTTACTCGGATTCGCAAGTTTTGCAAGTCCTTTACAAAAGATATTGCTTGGGCACTGGTGCATGAGATGATCACAGTTTTGGTCATCACATGCACGACAGCGCTCGGACAGGCCAGCGCTGGCCTAGATACGCGTCCGACGTTGCTCAGACGGTCAGCCCAAATAAGATCGCTCACCCCTGGGGTCGAACAGGAACTTGACAGTCATCCACGCGAGTGGAGAAAGACACCTGCGTGACTAAGGGGATACTCTCAAGACTGAAGTGACGGGATCCCAGCAAGTTTCTTACTTGGCACCAAAAGACTCAGTCTAGACTTTGACAGCAAAGTGCACAATGCGCACTGAACTGATAAGCAAGCCCCTCGCCTTCTCACTCGTCCTGGTAGATCCAGCTCAGGATGTGCCGCTGTGTGGCAAGCGTGTCAGAACTGAAAGGGCCAATGTGCCTCAGGACAAGATCGGACACATTGCAAAAGCATCACTAACAGTCCGTCCGATTGAGCACATGCAGACTAAACACGCTGCTGCTTCTCGACATACTCTTGAGTCACTCTTGAATTCAAGACACTGCAGCTGGTCCTGCAAAACCCCACGCCAGAGCGCAAATGCTTCGGCATGTCGGTCCTCGCAAGGCCAGCTCTGCAAAGCATCTCGGAATCTCGTTTCAATGTGCACCCCTGCAAGGACATGCAGGCTTTTCAGCGGCCACTTCGGACTTAACATTGCCGGCCTGCACCGCCCAGCCAACTGCCAGGTTGAACTTGGCCTTTAAGACCCCATGATTCTGCTTCCCCAGCTTGCGCTCGCCACGGCGTATGGCCGCTTCAAAACTTTGAACCTCAACGCTCACGAGCAACACAGCCTCACAAACCTGAATGTTTCCAATTCACATGGAAATGAGCTCGCTGCGGCTGCCTAAGGTCCCTAATCATCACTAATCCTTCCTTGAAGGATTTCAATGCAGTCGCCGCAGCATGCCCCTTTTGGAAGTCTACGTGCCAGATTAACAATTTGCAATAAAGAGGAGGGAGACGGAGAGTGAACAAGCAAACGTACTTGCCATGGGGCCGTTCTATCGCTCTTGCTCTGCGTCGCCTTTGTCTGCTTTGCAAAGCCTTTCAGCTAGGGTCGAAAGACTAAAGACGAGTCCTCTACGTGCAGGGTTGAAAGCTGCATCTGCTGCAAGTGACACAGATCTTTACAGCTGCATGGCGAGCTTCGATTGTTGGCCGATGCCAGCTTGCTAAGAGCTCCCTGGTACCGGGCATGCAGATTGTACTGTCCTGGCAAGGAGCATGTAGAGACTCTTCAAGGCGATTGTTTTTTTTTTTCGGGAAAGCCGTGGTTTTCTTGCATCCTGTCCTTGCCATCCTTCCAGGCCATTGATGGCTTGGATGGTCGCCTGGGTGTCGGGGTGGTCCGGTCCCATCATCGACACCTGTGCCTGGAAGACTTCCTCAGCGAGCACTCTCTCGGAATCTCTCGGATGTCGAAAGCAGCAGAACACACTCTGGCAGATCGAGAGGCGGCCGATGACTACGTTGATTATGTTGTCTACGTGGCTGTGACTGATGCTGCGGCTGCACAAATGTGTCTGAAGGACCCTGAAGGCCGTTTTTGGGAGGGGCTTTGTTGTTTTGCTCTATACGTTTTGGTTGTCACGGCTTTTCTGCAATGTCTGGGGCCGCCTCCAGGTCCAAGAGGGCCTCCGGCTTGGCCATCCGCTGCCGAAGGGCTCCTCTGAGAGACAAAAGGAACACGGAGACAAAACCCAAACACTCCCATCTTGCTTAGATGCTTTGAGTTGCTTTGATGTAGGCCTTTGTGGTCGCAAGTCCAAAATCTTGGAATGCCTCTTGGCGGTTCTCCAAAATGGGGCTTTTGTACCTCGAACACTTGACTGTCCGAAACCGGACTAATCCTGCCAAATTCCCCACCCCCCCCCCCAACGGGGTGGAGTTTGGTGGGAAATTATGAGTGTTTCAGGCTCATGGCTTCCTTTGCATACGTTTGCTCATGTATACTGTGCTCGATAGCCTGCTGCCGGATGATGGAATCTCCATGGCACATTTGTAATTTTACTGGGAAATGTTGGGGGTTTCGTGGGCTTTTGCGGGAACCACCACATGCCTCGAGCCGGGAAGTGGGACTTTTTTGATGATTTGTGTAGGGTTTCGCGGGAATTATTTGGGATTTGTTGCAGTTATTTTGTGTGAATTTGTGGGTTGCAAATCTTGTCGGGCTACTCTGAGCTGTGGTTAGGTGCTAGTGGGCGTTGTCCGGTTTTACTGTGTATTTGACCGCTTCAGCGCGGTCTTATCAGGTTTTAGTGTGTCTTCAGAAAGCTTATATTTATATTGATTTTGAAGGACCGATGGATGCTAACCCCTCACCAAGGGGACATCACGGTAATCGAGCGCCAACATCAAGTTGCGTGAACTGAGAAAGGGCCAGCTGCAAGCAATTCGGCATGGAACGTAGATTTCTTCCTTTGGGACGGATGTTGTAGCCGGGCTCTCGGCCTGTAGTTGTCATAATAACTCGGTAGATCTCCCTAAAGGACGACGGTGCCAAATCCGACGCTGGCGAGCTGCATGCCATTGGCATTCTCAAAGTGTCAGAACCTCATGGCCTACCACTGTATCGTACAACTTCAAGATATGGGCAACGTATTTCACGGAGCCGTGCCAAAACACGCCGAAACCCTGGGAGCAATTGGAATTCGGCGCCAACAACGATGTACACGCTCCTCAACACTCCGTGTTTCTCGGGTCAATCTCTGGCCAATGGCCTCCAACTGTTCCCGCAGCCCCTGAGGCTCTTCAACCTGCTGAGCTCTAGTGTTGCCTCAGCAACTACGGCGGCTTTCCTACCGGTTTAGGTCCCGGTGGTTTACGCTCTTTTGCTCTTGCGACTCTTGCGACTCTTGCGACTCTTGCGACTCTTGCGACTCTTGCGACACTCGAGAGCTTTGGCTGCAGCTTTTGCGATCTCTCCTAAGTTGAGGCGACTGACCAGCAAGTCTGGATCTGCAACTGGCAGGACCTTAGGCCAAGTTTGCGATGGCTTGTGGCTCGCCTCTCCAATGTGCCACCATGACAGTGACACAGGGCAGGAGCACAGAAGACAGCAGTCACATCCCATATTCATGCGCATCATGAGGCCAGCACCAGGGTGGACTTCTCAAGCGCACGCTTGAGCACCCACTCCGCTTGGTTGAGATTCCCCTCACCCGAGAGCTTGGATGACTTCCTGAGTCATGACATGTCTACTCAGGTCCTACTCATGTCTACTCAGACGAGTCGACTGGGATCTCTCAGTCTTGTGCATCGATGCTTGAGTCAGAGTTTGCAAAGCTCATGAAAATGAGCCACAAAGACGCCCGCATCTAGCTAAGTGGGGTTAATGGGGTTCAAGAAGATTTGGCAATGGATTATCACCATGCCCTGACAGCCACATTCTTGGTGCAGCCAGTGTACTCATTGGCCTTGACGAGCCTTTGGCGTGCAACGTTGTCTGCCGCATCAGGAAAATTCCTCGCAAAGGTGCGTACAGACGAGCTAGGCTACGGCCAAAACCCTTTGAACCTTCGGTTGTGACATGATATGTTATGATTGCAATCTCCCGCGACTTCACGCGCGACTTTGTTGTCCTGCTTGCGAGTTGACGCAACGTATCGCGCACGGAACTCTCTCGCAGCTGCCATCGCGTGCTAGCGCGGTCCAGACAGTAGCTGACGCGCCTATCAAAGACGAACCTAGCTTACTCCTGTCATGTTATGCCGCCACTCAGATGCCCACGACAACCAAATTGCTCACAACCAAGGCCAAGTTTCGACATGATCTCTTCGATCAGCTGCTCAGGAGATGGAGCAGTCGGACCCGAGCCTCAGCATCAGCAGTTCCAGCAAGTGCCCGTTTTCTACGATTCTTCGATAACATCCAAGCTGCTTGGGAGGAGTATCTCGTGCAGCTGCAGCGCCGCAGCCTTCACTCGAGCCTCTCAAAGTGCGCCCTGGCCCCCCTCTTTCAGGAGGGGATGCCGAGACAGAGACTCGGCAAGGCCAAAACGAAACAGGCATGTGAGGGCCGTGGACAGCTTGATGCTTTCAGTCCGACAAGGGGTACTTGGTGAGCATTTCAGTACTACACCGGGCCGCGAAGCGCAATGATTTTGATATGGGTTGCTCGAATGCCCAGCGAAGAAGGCCGAGAAAGGCGGCGGCATGATGCAAATTCGACATCGGATCCTAACTCAAAACCCCATACGACACCGTGCGCACACGTGATCACACGTGATCACACGTGATCACACGTGATCACACGTGGTTCCAAGGCATGACCTGAAAACTTTTCGAGCGTTAAACACCCAATGTAGACGCAGTCCTCAGACCTCTCTCTCAACAACAGAATCTGACAGCAGATTTCTGAGACACACTGATTGCAAGATCCATGCTATATCCTGCTTGCCTCCCCTATTCTGCACTGCAAGGAACAGGGAGTTGACTCACATCAGTCCGCTTCAGCATTGGAACTCAGGGACCTCAAAACACATCGAACTAAGCTCAGCCCCAATGTACGCTGCACCTCGTTCTCAACACATTAAACCCGCGTCGGACGCTGCGAATAGTTTCTTTGAAGCACTTGTCTGCAACAATCCTTTCCAAAATAGAACGTGGCCACTCATAGTGTTCTCCCCCAAAATGGACGCTCCCCTCTGACATTTCCCCAACGTAATGCACCATCCAGGCATGATCGTATATAATCGTAAAAAGGCAAAAACCGAATCTCCGAGTAGACGCCGAGCGCACGCCTTAGCAGAAACACTCCCCATTGTCGGGCTGCAAAACAAACCAAGACATTGGTAGTAAAACGACCTTGTCGCTTGTCACACCATCCGTGCCTCCTCCCGCCATCTTCGGCGACCACGGATGACTTGCCGCAGCATGCCTGGACAGCACACGATGCAGAAGCAGCAGCAGCAGCAGCACGACGGCGAAACTAAGCACACGCAAAACCCGAAGCTGAATCTCGGCAAAGCTCAAGCTCACAGCAAAGCTCTTGCCAGCCTGCCGCCTCCTGTTGAAGGCCCTCACGCCGCAGCAGGAGAGCGAGGCGCTCCTGCCAATCAAGCATTACCTCAGTCACGAGAGGCCACGGGATGCCACGAGATGCCATGGGAGCCGACCCATCCGACCCTCTCAGACGAGAAAAGAAAACAAAGCATGAGTGGTCGAATGCGTTGTGGACGAGGTGCCGGGTTGTGAGCCCCGAGAGACTTGAGGCCAGCAGTTACTGCATCTTGGAAGAGCGGTCGAGCTTCAGAAACCCGATCCTGATCTGCTAGGAACTTCCTTGGCTTGAGCACATTTGGGCGCATTTGAGCACGAGGCCGGGGCAATACGAAATACCAGTGTCAGGAGGTCATCGACTCGCGATATCTCGATTTGCGATATCACTGCCATGCCGAGGGGCGCCAGGACCACTTTGCCGAAGAGCGTGTCCTGAAGGGCTCATCTGCTCCACAGCTCCGTGAGGAGAGGAGAGAGCAAGAAAAGAGACAAAGCTGTCTAAAACAAAAATCAAGTGGCGAGCTTGTGCTCGCCCAGCTCTGCTTGGAGCCCGTCGGCCGCCCAGCGCAGCAAATCCTCCGCCTCTTGCATCCGCCCTCGGAGTCTGAGACGCTTGGCCAGCAAAAAGGCCCACCTTCTCTTCGTGCTATTGCCAGAGAAGAGACGTGCACTTCAAAAGCCAAACCTTGAGAACACTCAACTGCTCTTCGTACTTCGCCCGCGGCCTAGAGGTCCCGGCTTCTCGAAAGTCTTTGTTCGCGGCCAGGAAAAGGCTGTTTTCGTAGGCATGTTGCAACGACTCGGCTGGCCGCAGACAATGATACAAGCACACTGTCTCAAAATCACTGCTCGCTGCACTCCCTGCAGGCTAGCGTCACTCAAGTTCAACCCTAAGCCTGTCATTCGGTCACAATGTGCTCGGAGTGCAGCAGAGAAAGTGTGGTTCCGGATCGACGACGGAAGCTCTGCTAGATGAACCACCTGCTGGGACATCTAGAGACCGTGCGCAAGTGACACACAACACCAGAGCGCCATCTCTGCCGCCATCTTGTTCTCCCCAGGTCTTGGCCAAGCCACCGGCTGCGGTTCAGCCATGGAGAAGAGGGACATGGCATTTGTTGCCTGGGGTGGCAGCTGGATGATGTGCCGCCTTGCCTGCCACTGCATGCGACTGCATGCGACTGCAACTAAATTCAGCAAAAAATGCTGATGCCCTCCCCTTTCCTACTTCCCGTAACAAGTCTGCACTGGCCTCCAAGGCGTCAGAGAGAAACGCCTCTCTGAAAACTTCTTCATCGGGTGTTCCCTGATCGAAGCCATCATCCCTGACCTTGTCCACCAGGGCCCTCGCCCAATCGCTGCCTCAGGATGAATAGTGGACTCATCATCTCACGCCAAGACCAAATAAGCCAAGCCACATTGTATGAAGATCATGCCAAAGCTGGCAGCGCTGGCAATGCCATGCTGAATGTCCTCGAGAAGCAGACCCATGTCGATCCCCCTTACCACAAACATCTCACAACATCTCCCGAGCTTCAAGCAGAGGCATTGTGGGTGACCAGAAGGATCTGGATCCTGTCATCCACCTTGGCTAGGACCTCGAGGGCACTGACCGTCGGGCACCGGTGATTTGCCTTCATGCTCTAGCTGAGCGACAGGCTGCAGCAGGGCTACGGCTGGGGAGTCGGCATCTGCGACAAAGTCAAGGCTGGCATTTTGCCCCACCAGGATCGTGTCACTGTCCTTTCGAGCCGTTCAGCTTTGACAGCAGCATGTCCGATCAACATGCGACGTGCCAAGCTCCAAGATGAGAGACATGTGTTGCCAAGGTACCAGCCACAGCATCCACTTAATGCTCTCTTGCTGACATTTTTCAAGCCAATGCGGGATCACCTGACAGGTTCGCTTTGAGCTCAAGGCGCGGACAATTTCTCGCCAGGACTCTTGCAAGGTTGCAGGCCTGGGATGTGGCCGACGACGGGTGCACGTTGCGCTGGTCCAGGATAAAAGGATATCCTGACTCATAGCCACACCAAACTCTCAACAAACGTCACTGCAAGTGTCACCACCTGTCCTCGTTCAGCACACCACATTGCGTTGACAGCGGCAGTTAAAGCTCCGTTTCGAAGCCATCTCGGCGCATGTGACACAGCCAAGGCGAGCCTGAGATTGCCCAACCAACTCACAACAGCTCCCACAACAACTCCAACAACTGTGCACAAATGGGAGCTCCTGGGAAGTTCCTTTCTCTTCCTCTCTTCAGTCGAATGCGAGCAACGGCGGGTTCCCAGCAGGTGTAAGCGGAGATGTCTTGTTGGCACCTAAGGCGGTGCAACAGCTGCACTGCAAATCCGCCGAGGCCTCGGGCCAAAGGTGTATGGGTGGCACAAAGCAGCGCACCCACCTCTAATCCCCTCCCCAACCGCCCATGCTCGGACTGCACCCCCTTGATTTGGGACTTTTTGGGGCAACATTTTCCTTATGTTTTCCTTGATTTCTTTGTGGTGTGAGTCCCTTCCAACTACTGCCTCTTCTTGCTGGCGCTATCCTGCATGTCTTCCGCGTTCACTCGCTGCCTCCATGGTTTCAGAGCTCAAGCTTCATGGAGATATGTCCCCTGTCCCCCCACCCTTAGGCGACTGGTGTGCGCATGCAGTGCTGCAGTGCCCTCTCGACAGCAAGCGCCTCGCAGCTGTGCAGGCCCCGGCCGAGGCGGGTCGCGCAGCGCTGAAGTAAAGTCGCAGCAACAGCATCTTGAGCACTGTACGACTGTGCGAGAATGCGCAAGGCTACAAAAAGGCCGAGTAAGGTCGTAAGGACTCAGCAGAGTCTCAGGGCAGCATCGCCTTCAAGACCACAGCAAGATCCGTTTGAAGCCGGATCTAAGTCTCCGTCTGCACCTGCAGCCTGGCTTTTGGGGCCCGAAAAGACTCTAAACATCGGCGTACTTCTGCCCTATCCTGACAAGTAGCATCTGAACCCTCAGCCAAGTCATCGTAGCCCGAATCCTTGCACGAGGATCTTGTGCCACATGCGCATGCCTCAAGCACTCCTCAAGTTGCCCCAATGCCATGCGTTGCAAGGTGTTGCAAGGTGTTGTGGACAAGCATCCGGATAGAAAGCATCCTCGAAGTGATCTCCTTCTGCCACCGGCTGTGCAAAACTGACGCGGGAGAAATCAAAGTTCTCGACCTGCAGTGGCAGTTGCCGCCGACCAGGAAGGCTCATGGAGGAATCGGTTGCTTCTCTCTGCTGCTCTAAGCGGCCGCATTCTGTCGCCCGCCGGCATCGCAGTCGGCCAGGGCCTCCTACAGCTAGTGAGCACGACTGCTGCTCTGCCACAGGCACGAAAGGCATCAGAAATACCCTCAGAAGACTCATAAATTGCAGGTGGGCTCCGTGATGATGCTATAGAATATGGATCCCCGTTGGAACACTGCCACTAAGCCGTCCTGAGTCTTCGAGCGTTGCGCCGTGACCAGCGCCGAAGCAGCCGTAAGCCATGGGCCGAGCTGCCAGCGCATGTCATGTGACCCTTCTCAGAGCCGTGCCACAGCTGTAGCACAAACTACAGCGTGAGTGGCGAAGAGTTATGGCACTAGCTTGCAGGAAGAACGATCCATCGCGTCCCTTCTCAACTGCATGAAATATGATGCCAAGGAGAGGCACTGCACAGCATGGTGGTTCCAACTTCGCATGGCGTCATGCATGCACGCTGGCTTGGATGTTAAGATGGCTCAGATATGCTCAGATCCATCACAAGCTCAGGAGGTCGACATGGTCTGGCCCTCGCAATCTGGACTTCCAGCCTCTGTCTCGGCTTCAGCAGGCGAAGCTTCGCTGATCATGGCACCAAGAAGCCAATGCCAAGATGTGGGACTGGCTACAGACTCCGGCTAGACTCCGGCTAGACTCCGGCTAGACTCCGGCTAGACTCCGGCTACGACGGCTGCGCTATGGTTGCCAGCTACTGGCTCATGTTTACATACAGACGGAAAACAGTGAGGACATGTGAGGACGTCAAGCCTCGCCAGGCTTTCCCACCACATGCTGAGTGCCAGCACCAATCGAGTGACAAACTGCATGGCTTGTTCCTGAGGCATCTTGCGCAACTGAGGCTTTCTTGTGCAGATATTGATGCTCTCTCCTGCATGTGGTGCTTTGAACACGCTTTTTGTGCCTGATGTGCCTGGGAACGCTGCCAATAGTCTGGAGACGAAGCTACGATCCGACGGCAGCTGCCTGGCATGTGGAAGCTTCCGATGAGACCACTTGGGGCAACCTGAAAACCTGAAAACCCTGCCAAAGGGGCGGGACGTCAGCCTTAAAGAGGTGTGACAACAGCAATAGACATGCTCGCACTACATGAAGCGGCCGTTATTCTGAAATGGGGCTGCGACGACGGCCGGGAGTTCCGTGAGTATCTTCGGTTCAAGGGAGGCGCTCTGCTGTGGCGGCGAGAAGGACGGCACCTCTGAAGCACCGCATGTTCGTTCTCGCCACGAATCTTCACGCCACCCCCCCTGCAGGAAGTACTGAAATCACTTTCTTTTGCCAACATGAAAATCTTTGCCACGCCCAAGCTGGGATTTGAACCATTGTCGCGCACGAATACCCTGAATGTATGAAGTCCATGACCTCAGTGGTTTCATGCTAACGCCACAATTGCCACAGCGTTGATCGCGAGATATCGTACATCTCCTCCAGGGCACGAGCCATCTGGCAACCTTGCATCTCCTCGACCAGAGCAAAGCAACACGCAAGCAGTGCCCACATTGCCCACATCAATGTGGGCAGGCATAAAGATTTGTTAAGGATGTGGAACGGCTGGCTGAGCTGATGCTACCGGTACACAGCAAACTGGCCATCTCCTGTTTTGCATTGTTTGCGGTCTCCGAACTTGGGGGTCTGACGCTGGCACACGGCAACCCAACTTACCCAACCTAGGCCGATCCAGCATCTCCCTTTCCGGAACGGAACGGAAAGCTTCTGCCAAGGCATCTTCCATCCAGACCGTGAACTCTCAAGAATTCTCAAGCATGCACCGCATCACTCGAGTCACTCGCCCCAGTCGTGAGCCCAAGGTCGGCAGACACCGCAGAAGCGGAGATTCTTGGTGGGCTTCCGTCAAAGACATGAGGAACGCAGGCTTACGTGAAGAACCATTGCTATCGGTTGAACAATCCACATATGACATCAAATCGGCCCAGCCGTCAAATCGCGCGTGTCGTAACTCCAAGTCAGAGTTACCTGCAACACGATTGCTACAGGTCTCATCCGGCTTCAGGCTTGTACAAATCAGCCGACCATGCAGAGTACACATCCTCCAAGATCGCCGTCTTCTAAAGACTGCTCGCGTGGTCGATGCGATGGCAACTTTCCCGGTCCATGCCAGCCCAGTGTCACCACCTGGCGGAGCTCCATTCCCTTTGTGTGGACTTTGCAGAGACTCCCATGTGCAACCAAATTCCCTGCCGGGCCACATAATTTATGTGGCCCCATGCAGGTGGAAGTCAAGGGTTGCACCACACCTTAAGTGGGTTCTTGTACGTTCTCATGAGACTTTGCTACTAAGCGACATGCAAGGACGAAAGCCCCTCCACAAGGGCTTACCTAGTGCCGCAGCTTGGCGAAAACGGTTGGACCGAACGGAGCATATCCTGGCCAAGTAGATCTGCGTACATCCTGGCCTGCACTTCTCCAGACAACCAGTCGGTCTACATCCTGGATCCGGCGCTCCACATTTGAATCATTCAACGAGTGCGCCATTCTCTGCTTATCAACCGAGGCTGGTTGAAAGGGGCCGTAATGGCGTGTGGGCCCAGGCTGGGGGTGGCGATGATGTGGTAGGCTCAGAAAGCCCTGGACCTTCTCCTCCAATGGCCCGAACCAGCGGCCATCAACAGGGCCATGTCAGCGACCAAGATTAAGAAAGACACCACTGAAGCTGTGCAAAACGAGGTTCACACTTTGAAACGTAGTTGCAAAAACAGAATGCCTGCAAGAACGCTGGCGTATGCTGCTCTCGATTTCAGAGGGCTCCTGGTCTGGCCGCAGGAGACCCAGACTTTGTCGGATCCTCGGAAAAAAAAAAAAAAAAAAAAAAAAAGCTCCGACATCTGACGGCTGCTGACGCAGCATAGTTGAGGTGTGCGCTCATCCAGCTCTCTGAAGCGCAATCCCAGGAAAAGAGTGAGCCTCAGCTGACCAATGCTGGGAATGCGGGGCGTGCACCGTTTGTTCTACAGCACCGTACCTGTACTGAGGCCAGAGCAATGGCAACTGCCTTGCTTACACGATTCAAGAATCTGAATTCATCTAGCTTTCCCCAGCTCATGCTGCATGCAGGAAGCTTCGCATCCCAGCCGTTCAAGGCACAGAGCGCAGCCGCCTGGCAAATTTTCAGCCTTCTTGCTCAGCAGCTCAACCCTCCAGTGATCAGATTCTGTCATGATCCACAGCACAGCCATACGGCCATACGGTGCTCCGGACATCTCCGTAATTGCTGCTCGGTTGTCAATTGCTCATGAATCTCATGATATCCTTGGCACGGTTCTCGAAAATGAGCAGGTTGGTGACGACTCGCACAGGCGACTGGCTGAGCAGCAGCACCTCGAGCAAAGAAGCATCCGAGCACACCATGTGCATGACAGTTCAGACATGCTCAGACGCATCTCTAAGCATCTCTCAAGATCTCTCAAGTCTCCGGCATGCAGGGAGCAGCCTTGCGACAGTAGATACCAGATGTGATTCCTGGACCGGAGATAGCTTTCCATGTTCGGTTCGACGTGGTTCGACCGTTGATGCGAACGCAAAGTGCCAAGGCACAAGACTCAGATGCAAACTGAGTCAAGAGTGATCTCCACGCATTTCGACTGCCAAATGCGACCACCTCTGCCAGCATTCGGTGTGAGGGATCAGGCGACCCCCAAGAGCCCTCGAAGAGCCCCAACAGCACGTGAACATATGTGAACGAAAAATTAATGATCGCAGGCGATGGGCACGTACTACCGGCAGAAAAACAAAAAGCTTGCAGCACAGCGAGGGGCTAAGCTCTGGCTGCTAGAACGCTGGCTAGCGCAAGGAACTCCCGCCCTTCCCCTGGCCGTCTCGGCCGCACGGCGATCCAGAAGGCAGCTCATAAACACAAAAATCAGCCAGCGAGCCCAAAACTGCCCCTCCCTGGCCTGACTTCGTTCCCCTATTAACTCGATTTACTCGATCGTAACTCGATCGTACACAAGAACAAAACACATCAGGCCCGCCTCGTCCATCGCCGGTGATGGAAAGCCAGCCTCCTTGCTCGAAACGACACCACAGCAGTCTACAGGTAGAGCTTTGGCAACAGCTGCCTCTTCTGCTGCGGCGGCTGCTGCAACCGAATCTGACCTCGGAGATGCACAACATCAACCTCATCACATGAGACTCGTCACATGATCAGCCTCATCAATGCCAGGGCCTGGGCAGTGCACTCGACAAGTCGTCTTCGGAGCCTCCTCCAATCCAACTCCGGCCTGGATGAGCTCAAGCAACTCAAGAAAACCAAGCACAAACAGGCAGAATGGGCTGACATCGGGCTCAAGCCCTCACAACCGGCACGTGGTATGACCTGGACAGCAACTTTCTTGCATTCCACCATGACAATGAAAGCGTCCCAGTCGAGCTCCCAGCGACCAATCGCCAGGGACCCTGGTCCGGTGGCCTGATTCTGCTCAAGCCAGGATGAGCTCCACACATCGCCAACACTAAGCGCCTCCCATCTTGGGCAACGGCTTGCTTTCAACACCGCTGGCTGAACCTGTGCCAACGGCACAATTAACACTTTACCACCGCTTGCAAGCTGCCTTTCGCTTGGCAAACACAAGCCTCCCTGGCCTGTTGTGGACTTCCAAATTTCGCAGAAGACGTGCGACCTAAGGCGATGGCTTCCATCAAAGTGTACTGTACATACATGTATCTCTGCTTCTTTCCACCTTCTTCGCAAACATGAAAAGCGGAAAGAATCAACACATCACACATCGAAGTAAGGCCGCGGATTCGGAAACCGAAACCATGGGCCGGTTCGGAGTTGGAAAAACGTGTTTGGAAAACGCAGAGGAAAGCGCCATTCGCGAAGCTGCAAGATGCAGATTAAAACACGAATTCGGAAACCGAGTATCCTCACAGTTGCTGCAACACTTGGATTCGGACACTGGCCTTGGAACCTAAGCCTGCAGGAAACTGCAAATCGCCGAGTCGGTAATCACAACCTATGCAACTGCCCCACGCGCGATGGAAACCTTGATAACCATTGAATTCTGCGGTTTCAGAAAATCGGAAAATGTGTGACAAAGACACGGAGTCGACGGATGATTCTGGAATCTGGACACAGATTCTGTTTGCACCTTGGTTCTTCCGAATGTCCCTGTGTCCCGAGTCGCATCAATCAACCTCAAGTCCTAACCTAGGCAATGTCACGCTGTGCGCGCCCACAACGTGAATGTTTCCCATCTCGTGCTTTCACAGGATCGCAATGAAGGAAACACCCACCCTTGCCCGATCCTTCTTCATGGATGTCAACAGCGGCCTCCCCCCCTCCCGAACCGAGCAGTTTCCTGAATCGCCTAGCTTCTCGAACCGCTGTTTCCTGAATCGTCGCAGCTTCCTGAATTCTGGCTCCTTGAAACACGCAAGCTGGTAAAGTTGACCGTGACTACGGCAGCCATGTGACAGTGACTGATCAGCTGCCATCCACAACTCCCTGAACTCTCCGAAAGCTATGCCAGTGTACAGACGAGAAGAAAAAAGAATGAGCTCGGGAAGGAAAGCCAAGCCATACAAGAAATGCTTCGTAGTACTATAAGACGCCAGCGAGGCAACGGCTAGCTCGATGTGACCAGGTCCTCATCCAGAGGACTTCGTTGGACTTCAATGCCAGTTGATTCGCCAAGTCAAGCAGAACACTTAGCTCACGTCTCACTCTGCGACGTGCGCGTTTAGGATGTGAACCTTCCATGCAAGAAGCTACAAGGACACAGGTCCCATAGTGCTGCTGCAAGGTCTGTCCGAAAACCGCGGGTAATAAAAGAATCAGGCAAGACTGCACATCATTGAAGGATCACCTGCCTTTGATGCCACCTCGCCTTGGATGAAGGAAACTGCATGAAAGCTCGCTTTCTGAAAGCTCGGCGGGACCGTGTCCCTGGACTTGGAACAGTGCTGTAGTTCTTGACGCAAGGCCTCCAAAGAAGCTCGCTGATGCCGCTCCTTCACTGCAGTTGAGAGCACAGCAGTTGAGAACGGTTGAGAACGATGGTAGGTCGAGTACGCTCAGTACACTCAGTCCGGAATCCGGATTGCCTCCAGGGAGCCATCATCATCACAAGTGTCGCTCCCATCCTGACACCCCAATGCGCCCCAAACAGAAAACATCAATACAGTCAAGGACACTGAAAAAAAACTGATTTGGAAGGGAATGGTCAGAATGTACCTGGTCACGGTCGTCTGTGACCAAATCGGAGCCGGAGCTATCTCACGAGGCTTGTGCCCACAACTCATCCAGCTATCCAGGCACTGCCCAGTCACCGAGCCTTCTGTGTCCACTCCGTTGGAACCCAGCCTAAGCCCATCGAAGGACAGCTACCACTGAAGCATGTCAAAAGGCAGACAACAAGCATTCTCGCTTTTCAACGACTCTGACAGAGCAAGTTTACGTAGAAGACCCACTCACTTGGAAGCTCAGACAGAAGCAAGAGACTCAGACATGATGAAAGTGAAGAATCGGCAGCATTGGGCTTATCTTGCGTTTGTGGCATGGCGAAAGGATCCGAGACACTGCGGTGGATTGAACCGCTTTGCCCTTCGGGGCAAAGAAATGCTGACGAGCCAGGGCGGAAGACCTGGCCAATCTAGAGTTGGAGGAACTCAGGTTTGGATCTCAACTGCATGGCATGTGCATGTGACCCCGAACCCTTGAGAGCCGGCATCTCTGATAGCCGGATCAGTGGCTACTCGGCATGTTTGGCGACTGGGTACAACATGTTGTCGGATGCAGCCGATGTGAGGGTTTCACAACATGCATTGACATACCACTGCGGTGCCAGTGTCCAGGACATCTGAATCTAAATTTTCCTGGCACCTAAATGACCTACACTCTCTTCCTTCCAGCGCTCGCGCTCGCGACCCCCCCCCCCCCCCAGGAGGGGTTGGAGCGTTTTGAGGTGAAAAGGTGCACAAGTGCTGCTCGGGCCTCTTCCCCGCCCCCCCCCCCCTTCATCCCCTAACAAGGTAAGAATACCGTTAGCCATACTGCTCCGTTTCCCCTGCCCTGAGTTTGCACTTCACTGCCTCTTGCGGTTCCTATTGTCGTTAGCTTCCCTTTTCGTTCCCTCTCTCTCTCTCTCTCTCCACACGCATGGCCCCCCCTCGAAAAGCACAGTCCACGGTCTGTTGGTGAGATTTTCTCTCTCTCTCTCTCTCTCTCCCTCTCTCTCTCCCTCTAGCAATCTGCAAAGCTCCTCCCTCGCCAGAAAACTGCCAGTTCTGCGGTTTTGATACTCACGCTGGGCGTGACGATGTACTGCTGCACCTGTGCAGCAAGCTAAACCACATCGCAGTGCTGGCATACCAAAAAGGCATGGAAGCATGTGCTTCTGAGCTTCAACATGTGGAATTGCCGACAAACCCGTCACAAAGTGCCGCACAGAGGTTGTAGTTCAGGTCATCATCACCAAGTCCTTTGCTCTTCACATCACATTGGACGCTGCAGCGCATGACATAACAAAAAAAGAAGAAAACCAAAAGAAATGAAAGGATGTTCGTCTTATGCACAGCCACTATTGCACTGCATTCTCAGAGGCGAACTGTGTTGTGCTGGCACACTAAATCCAGTAAGGACGTGCTTGGGCAGAATTGGCCTCAGATCTTTGTGTAACACAAACTAACACAAAATGTGTTGTTCGCGCTTCAGAAAATGCAGCGCGCGCGCACACACACACACACCACGCGACTCTGAGCACCAGGCCCTGCTGCAGCCTCTTTGCTTCATGCTCCGTGCATACACACAAGTAGATGCGCTTTTGCAGATGCGTTTATGCAATGCGAGCTTCGGGCTTGCACATGAAACAAAAAACACAAAAAGTGACGAGCAGATCAGCATGAACCCCGGAGCATACGCATGTTCCGGGCGCCACGCCAAGCTGGCACCGCGACTACCAATGGGCAAGAAGGCCCTCGGTCTGAAGACCATGGTGAGCCGAGTATCTTTGAACCCTTTAAGTAGCGAAGATGTGCCGAAGGCTCCAAGTGGCAGGCCGAGGCCTGTCGACCTCCAGCCACTCATCGCGCGTCTGCAAGATTCTCTCATGCCAGGCAAATGGCCTGCGGAGTGTTCCAAACACACCACACACACACACACCTGAAAACACTTGGCCACTTAGCTTCACCTGCAACTTCAACCGCAAAACAAACTGCAAAGCTCAGGACGGCACATGCATCGGGTGACTCCACCATCTTGCGGTGGAGCTGCAAACGGGAGCGCTCGATCTCTTGTCCAACACGATCCATGGTATTGAACGGCAACGTGAACACCCGAGCCTCCCAGGTCTCGGCTGAAGTTGCCGGCAGTCTGCGAAAGGCGAGTCCCAGAAGAGTTGGCAGTGACTTGTATGCCGCTAATCGAGTGCTGAGTTTGTGGCCATGCCAACTGTCCGATCATCTTCCCCTCCTGGCAATGTGCATCTTCAATTGCCTCCAGCGATTGACGACGACGGCTTCCTCTGGCATCCGCGTTGTCAAGAAAGTGATCGCCTGCAGCGGTTTGCTCAAACAAGTTAAGCAGGGTGAGACGGATTCCCATGTGTGTATATACACATATATCTATACACAAATGGCCAGCCCTCCCCCCACGACAGGCACTGGTCTAGAAATCACTGTACATGGCGATGAGAACACGACTTGCTAAAAAAAAACTAAACACCAAAAAACCAAACCCGCAGAGAGAATCTCAGATTTGGCTCTTGGGCGTATGCTTTTTGGTTGTGTTTCTTTCTGTTTTTGGTGTTGGTTGTTTGGTTCTTTTGTGTGTTTTTGTTTTTCCTCGAGTTTGTTTGGTAGTTCTTGTATTTGGCTCAATTTCCCGAGGGGAAACCACCCGAAACAAAAACAACAAGCAAAAGCAACTCGAGGAAAAACCAAACAAATATAATTCAAAAAAACGAGTTCTGAGATTCTCTCCGGGGATTTGGTTTTGGGATTTTGGATTCAGGGCCCCTGCTGAGCAGATAATATCCATTTCGTAAAAAAAAACAAAGGCAACATCACGAGCAGAAAAGCTGGGCAAGACATTCCATGTGAAGAGGGCTTAGGAAGTATACTTATGCACGCGCGAAGATTAAGAGAGGTTGGGGCTGAGATCCCGCTTCATCTCATGATGGGGTTCATGGCAATTGCATTCTGATTTCACTTTGAATGCTTTGCATTGGAAATAAACCGACTGGGTAGTCATGTAAGTGATTGAACTAGCTGACCTCCAATCATACTAACCAAATTAGCGCAGCGATAGTTTAACTCAGGGACAAGTCGCAAAATCAAAAGTATTGCTATACAAGTTCGGATCACGAAGGCAGTGTCGATCTTGCTGTTATCTTAGACAAGGCCAATCGCTGTGGAAATCGCATGCTAAATGTGCATAGCTAGGTTTCGAATACATATTGCATAGCTTAGAATCATGAAACATGAAAGCCTCATCAACTGCTAACTCAACTTAACGATGCAGGTATAATCCTGCAAGGTCTGTTCTACGGTTGCAACAGTTGCTCAAGGAACTCAATTACCCCTAATTGCAAACTTAAAAGCTGGCCCCGACGAAAATAGCTGTTTTTGTTGGAGCATCGGTTGTCCTAGTAGCTGTCCTTCATTCTCTTTTCCGTGCCATCGAAGCTATCTGACTTTAATATCACTTGAAAAAGAAAGGTGGCCTCCAAGTATGTAAATCGAACTATCCGAATTGCTAGATGCTTAACTTGGTGTGGTGAGCTCACATGAACAAATGCATTTCCCTGCAAGTCATAAGCCGCATACGTACGGGTATTGCACAAGCGTATGCACAAGCGTAATGGATTCAGTCTCTGGTGTATAAACTGATGTCAATAGCCATTTGTCTTTGAAGGGAACGACAGAACGCATAAAGAAAACTGCATTAAATCACACTCGCTCACTCCCATGCCCCCTCCCAGCTTAAGAAGCAAAATAACATAACCAACTTCGCTAACATAAGTGAGTCAGGCATCGTCGTGAAACTACTTCGTAAATATGCAAATTACAAAGCTCCCTTTCATTATCTTTCAATATTTCCGGCCTTTAAGGTAGCATTCAAGAAAGCCAGTTGACATCCAATTTTGTTGATCAGACCAACTCAAAACTTGCATTTAAAACTTGGGGCACATAATGTCAAATTAGTAAAAAGAAAAAGGCTCTGTTCATGGCATAAAGACAGCATTCCCAACATGGCTTCCATTGGTTGTAGTCCGATGATGCATACACGCATTTTGGCTTCTTTCTTGAGACTGCATCAAGTTGATCATACAGCTGGAGCATACAAAACTGGTTTCGACGGGGGGGGTGAGTATACATGAATACATATACATATGTAGCTATAACTCTGCTCTCGTAAGCCAAGAACCAATGCCGTATGCTCCTCCAGGTAAGGAGATGCCTGCCACATTGAAATGTTTTGTGTTGCAAACCGCATCGGTCTACGTACTGACCTCAGCTTCTCATCTGCCTGAGATTCTGGCCGTATGTTGGCACTCCCTCGACAAGGCAATCCATCACGGAAGCTGTCGGATATGCCGGTCGCCTCAGAAGCAAGGTCATGGCTCGTTCCGGAGCTTGTGAAATCAATTCCGAATCAAGGTCGCAGCATGCCAGGTTCTGACTGACGTTTGCCTTCCTTGCGGAGATCAGCGCTTCGTGCACACAACTGCCTGAACGGCCTGTCCGTTGCCTGAGCACGAAGGCCGAAGGCCTCTGGGTACACGGTCAGCTCCTGGCCAAACTGCTTGGCCTATCTTTCCCCCCGGGCATGTGCTCGTCCTCGCCTGGTACAGCTTGCTGGTCTGCCCCATCACTCCCACACCTTCGGTGCAGCGATGCCGCTCCTGCAGATTGAGGAATTAACAAGGAAAGTGTTGAACTGTGCATCCGCCTTCAGGAGCTCCCAATCCATGCCTCTGGGACAGGCTTCCTGAGTTCGCTGATGCTACTAAGACGGGCGCATCTGATCTTTATGTAAAGAGTACCTTCTTAACTTGAAGGTTTGGATGCAATCACGAGGAAACTAGGTACCCCCCAAAAGACATTTATCTTTACCTGGGACTGCTGGTCATCTTGGCTTTCAACCAAAGTCCTACACATCGTGACTGTGAGGTAGTCCTAAACCCTAAGACCCCTACACCCTGTTCATATACTATCCGTCGACCCCCAAGGCCCTAAACTGCAAAAATGAAAACCATTCTGGAACCAGGTACTCAAAAACAAGGGTGTATGGCCTTTAGGTGCACTACAAGGAGGCGGTTCTTGGAATGAACAAAAAAGCTTGACCACGAATGAGAAACACTTTGCGGCGACACGAACAGGCTTGCAGAATGTCTTCACTATGTTTCGCGATAGTGCCAGACATCCATGGAAGCAGAAGCGCTTTGAGACATCAAAGCTTTGCGCAGTGCCGCAGAGTCCCCCAAAAGGCAAACAGGCAGAGTCACATGAAAGGGTACCCGGATGTACCTACCCAATCCGTCTGGGCATGCCAAGGCCCTTGAGGATCACTTTGGTCTCTCTCAGGGTTTTGGCACGGGTCCACAATAACAAAGATGCCACACCAAAATGGCAAAATTCAGCAAATACCCGGTCCGGGAAAGTGCCAAGTAACGAAGGTTGCTCATGTTGCCTACTACAAAAACATGATCTTGTTGCTGTGATATCCACGTACTCTTATGTGGTGCTGACATACGAAGTGCGCAGCGTCGCAAGAGAGACAGCATGCCTGCTGAAAACCGCTTGACAATGCTCAATACGGTTGTCATGCAGTCTTTCTCAACTCAGCATCCGACAAAGTAACGGTCCAAGGATACGACCCAGATTCTGTGGCCTGACACCAGCCAGACCCGTGACAGCCAATGTCAGCGTATGCCAGTGTTTGTCAGCGTCAATCATCTGAGCCACCAGCGGTCGTCACAAAGTGCAACTGCCAGCCTGGGCCACAAATGGCCACCACGCTTGTTGCAGAGGAAACATTTCCCAAGGAATCTCAGGATGAAACAGATCTCTAGCCACAGCCAGCGTGATGAAGTTGATATCCTACAACAGGTGCTGGCAAGCCATTAGGACACAGTCATCTGAGTGACCAGAGAACATCCAAACTTGGAATAAGCATCGCATGCACTGGCTCTGAGCCTCTGGAAGGTACTCTCCCAACAGTATAGAGTGAAAGGCCACTCCGGACGTATGCCACATCCTAAGTCCCAGCATTCGTGTCTCGCGTCAGTTGCTGAAAGATAGCGCAAGTCTGTGCAAGCAAATGATACAAGGTATGTCCTGCAAGAAGAGCATGTCCGACTTTTGGACCGCGCACACTCAGTCAGTACATCAGTGGCAGCGCCTTCGCTTGGCACCGTCATCTTTAGCAGACTCAGGTGATCTTTTCGGAGCCCTTAGCATGGCTTTCACCTCGCAATCAGGGATGCTGGTAAGAACCCGTCAAGCACGAGAAACTGGCGTCAGGGCCTGCGGCAAGCGCATCGGCCCAGTAGGGAGCACTCCGACAGCTCCGACAGCTCAGGCTCAGCTTGAGACGTTGCCCCAACCCCAACTTGCTGCTTCCCTGTAACCTCGTGCTGGTGCAATCGTTCCTAGTCGTTGCGGGCATGAGCGTCAGATGTGTGAGAGCTACTGACCTGCCTGGATTCGAGACTCCTCTCTTCTCTGCTCAAATGCACTTAGTGCGCTCGTCTAGTCGGTCTACTCAGTCTACTCGTTCTCTCCCACAAAGCTGATGGCATCGGGGCCTGCGGAGCTCCGCAACGGCCCGGGGGCGCTCGCGACTGCAAGCGCCCCGTTTCTCCCTTCCCCGAACCTTGGCAGCGGTGTGCTTGAGGATCAACTCGTGCACCGCCACCAGCTCTTGCACGTCCTCGCAGCATCCAGCGAAGCCAACGCCATGCTTCAAGGGCCTAAAGGGGCTAAAGACTCCCATAAACGTGCTCACATTGGAGAATGACCACCCACAGCAGGAAGGTGGAACCACTCCCCAGATGCACTTTGCTGAGCAGGTTCTTGTCTTGCGTTCTTGGTGGGGACTTGCGAAATGCTTTCGGAAAACAATGCCATCGGCTCTGCAATTCCACAATGACTCCATAGTTGCATAAGTGTCAAAAGAATGTCTGGAATCATTGCAAATATGACCCCTCATGACCCCCCGGGCCCCCATGAACTGACAAATGGCAATGAACGACACGTCCGTGCCTGAAAACCCTCTGGCAGCAGCTTGCTGGCCATCACGGCACCGGAATGCCAAGTTGTGACGCCACGCCTGCTGGCCTGAAATCCCCGACAAGCAGCAATAAGCAACTCTATGAGTCTGCGAGACTACATATGCACATTGGTAGCCCCAGACAGCGTTGTCCAACTCCGATGCCACACCGTTAAAAAAAAGAGCTACAAGTACCGATTGATCTCATTGTACACACAACACATCCCGCACGAAACTGGTGTACTCAGGGTGTACTGGTGCACAGGCATGTGGCCTGAACATTCCAATGCTGGGAACCAGTTGACAGCTGCAGCACAGCTGGCTGCAGTCTCAAAAGGGTCCTGCCGCTCGAAGAAAACTTAAGATACTAAGCGTGCGAGAAGAAGCACACCTTCTATTCCGCACTGAACATTTTTATGCACCAATGTGAGTGCGGTGCTTGGGGGCATCAGGAGGTGCACCCTGGTCTCGCCTCCATGTCCATCGCAACTTGTCGAAAGCTGCTGCAAACATCTCACCAGAAACAAGGATAGGCAGCAAGGGCAACTATGGTAACATAAGCTGCAAGATCACTCCTGTTGCGGGAGAGCTCCTCAATAGCGACGTCAGCGTAGCTGAACACTTGAAGTTTAGCCTCATGTGTAACACACACACACACACACACACAAGCAGCATAAGTAGTCAATCATACGTGCTTATGCATCAAAAAGCTGATGTAACATCTACATAACTTTTAAAGGCTTGGGGCTGTGCCTTTGTGAAATGAATGGGCTGCCAACTGTCCTGGCAAATCATCGTGGTGACAAGCACTGCAACATACCACAACTCTTAGCTTTCATGCGAATCCTCAGACCGCAGCTGTATCCATGAGAAACCATCATCGCACCGGGTGTCCACAATCAAAAAATTGAGCCGCTGCCCGCAAACATGTGGCGCTTGGACCCCTCCAATGAAACTCACATACAGGCAGCAGACCTGTTTGCGGGGGGTTTTGTTCGTGCAGGTTAGTGGGCACCTAGAGGCATGGAGGTCCCCGGAAACCAAGAACCTCACACCAGGTCGGCGGATGTCGGCGGTGTGCAGAGATGGCACTCACAGAACAGTTAGCCTTAAGTTCAGAAACGAAATCTACGCATCCGCCACAGCAAGTCGCAATGATGCTGCTGTCCTGGATGCCCCACTCATACACGAGGCCCTGCACCTCTCCCTGCACCACCTGCACAGAGCAAGATTCTCTCGAGAATGCCAGTCAAACAGTGAAACGGTTTGGGCGGGTCCAGTTCGTCAAGCGCACCACCCTTCGTTCGCGATCCGTTGCGCAGTCCGTCTCTCGGCCAGCTGGTGTGCAGTAAGAGGCCAAATCAATGGGGCGCATTTGCGGGTCGTTCTTGACTCGTTCGCCGTCATCTGACTGGACAAGCCACTATGTGGCCAGAATGCTTCCAATCCCATGTGCCGTAACACGTGATCTGCAAGATGCAGAAAGTGGCAAGGATACTGGTTTAGAGGCACGTGATCTGCAAGGTACGTAGTTTTCTGCTTTCAGACAAGCCTGAACCAATGTAACAAGGCCTTTGATGTGGGACATCCGGAAACAGCTAGTCAGCATTCATACAGCATTCATACACGAACCTAGCCGCACCTTCACAGTCAGCTCAGAATCTGCAGGGAACACCTGCCCAACACATCCCAACACAGCGGCATCCGAACTCTTCTGTCACTCTTCCATTTTTCGGACGCCATCTCGGCACATCCTTACAACATCCACCGGCTAACTGCACTTCGGACTCCCCTTCAAGTATACCGCAGCAGACTTGTTCAAGAGAAGAACCGCTCTCTGAATCATCAACCAGGCAAAGAAACTAGAACTGTGGATCACGTGCATTTGTTGTTCACCCGGGGGCCGCTCCTTCGTTCGCTTACTTCTATCTCAAGGTGGTACGTGTGTTGGCTGTTCGCTTCACTCTTATTATTAACCCAACCTGTGAATTACTAACCAAAACCAGATATTAATATTGGAATTATGGTGTGAACGAAGAGAACACGCCGAAATAATATAATGAACGCAGCATTTACACGATTTTAATGCGTACACGTGACAGTTCTCGAGAGCAGGCCTCTATCGATTCTTGACACTTGACGGCTGCTTTCCTTGGCTGACAGCTCAGAACTCATTTGAAAGGATCTTGTCTTACACTAGTATGAAATTCCCCGACAAAAACCGTACAAATGTCTGGGAAGTGCAGGAAAGAGTCCTCAGAAATTTTGCGTTTATTTGGAAGGCACCCAAAGACAGGCTCTCTGCTTGTAACATCTGCGAGGCCATGGCATCAACACAGCTGCCGTTCAAGCTTGGAAACCCACCGTGCGATCTACCCACCAGATTCCTGATCTGCTTTATGCGTTTACAGCACAAGAGTTCGGAAGTGTTCCTTTGAACCAGCCGAAATTATTAACAAGAAATGTCAAGAGTGCACAGTGCACATGTCAGATCAGCATATCACAACCTGAGAGCATCAAGCACTCTCTCGCACAGCAGATACTGGGATGCATGAGCATGTCAATAACACCAAAGTCCAAACGGCATGCCACAGCAATCTATCCCGCTTTGCATGCTAGCTGCCTAACAGCCTTGCAGGCTTAGCAAGCATCAGCTTCCGGCAGTAAGCGTACAGACGGCTGGGGCGTCACTGCAAAAATCCAATCGCGACCTCCACAAAAGGAAGCAACACACACGCAACATTCTTGTAAGCTGTTCTTATTGGGTCTGCCGTGCTGCACGCCATGAAGCTGGGAAGGCCACAGGTGCGAACATCCGAGAAACGAGTCAGCGGCCTTCTTTGCTTTGGGCAGAAGGACCGGTGCCGGCAGCACATGCAGAGCAAGGCTACGCTGTCACAGCGAGCCCCTCCCCTCTGAGTCCTCTGGTCAGCATGTGGCGGCGGACCTTTGAAAGGCACACTTGGCAAAACACCGCGACCCATCGGACAAGTTTTTGGCAACCACAGCGGACTTCTCAGGTCGAAACATAACCGCTGCATGTAGAAACAATGAGTTGCAAAGAGACCTGAAGAGAGGGACCGGAATCAACCGATTGTTGTAACGGCAACATACTGCTCCCAAGAAAAAAACACAACAGTAACAAGAACAACAGTCATGGTGCCCAGCCTTTCCATCTGAAGCTCAGGACCTCAGCTAAATCGGTCTCTCTCTTTGCGATCGGGAGTCTACTGATGAAACCGAAGGATCCAACAGTGGCGACCGCGTCGTCGAGAATCAGAACCAGCGTCTGCGCTGTTGCAACACTGATTCGAACCTCGCATTCAAACCAGCTGCCAGGACCAGATTTGATTGCAGGCAAGCGACAGCTGAGAGCAGCTCGCGCAACGACTTGCACATTTTGATGGCGGACTCCTCCCCTTCGTACCTGAGATCTTGGATACGCTTGAGCTTGGCCAAAGAACTCATAATAGAAGATTCCAAACATCGCCCAATCCCAGCTTGGCAAAAATTGGGCGAAGGCCACTCAGCTGCCGTGTCTGGTCCGCTGCCATCGCCCCCTGACCGAATACTTCTGACAAAGTAGAGAGACATGACAAAACCTGGAAATCCTTGCAGCAATGCCTGCATTCTCATCTCCAGCCTTGAGCGAAAACCCAAGTCACACTCAGCTGTTTAGGGTGCACGGGACCTGACGGCACAAAACCGTCTCGAAAGCCGAGCGGCCAGGGCTGCAGCTGCCGCCGCCAGGTGTTCCCGGCACGCCGGAAGCAGCCGCAGCAGTAGGAACTCAGAATGGCATATGATGGCATATGTATCGTGTGTATCGGCGCACGTCCATGAAATTCCTGAGGGCTCAAGAACATGGTACAGTGATTCCGGCCCTTAAGGCTGCAAACCGAAGCCGAGACCCCGACCAGGGGCACGGAGTGCTTCCAAACTATGTTGGAGTTCTTCTCAAGAGCTTCCTGCTAGCGCTGTTCATGCCATGATCAAGCCCTGTTCAAGCGCTTCGGGGGCCCCAAAACAGAACTTGTCCTCTTCTGACCATCTGGGCGGAAGAACATCCAGAACTTGCAAACCGGTGATAACAGCTCCATCGCGTCCTAAGGACCCAACTTGAGCAGCGGCATGCCCCGTTCCAGCTCTTCTGGATCATGCTCCAACTGAGCACAGGTGCATGCAGCGTGGAACACTCCTGGCAATGAGACATGCACCTCCACTTTCGATGGCTCGATGTCCGCCTCCGCATTCTCGATGCCAACAAATCGGCAACACGTCAACCTGAGCCAGCGTCTCCCAAAAGCCTCCCACTGCACATGGTCGCCAGGTTAACACAGCCAGGTCACGCAGAGTTGTCCCTGTGCAAGGCCACCAAACATGCCACACCTTGCAAACAGAACCTTGCTTCCCCAAGAGTACCAATGGTGCCTCACAGAAGCTGAGGTACCGACCAGGATACTCCGAGAGAGAGTTTCTTGACAACTCTACCTATACCGTGACAGCTCAGAAATGCAACAACTGACTATTCAAAGCAGCTGCACGACAAGCGAGGCCAATGGGAGCCACAATAGCGCTGTTCGCTTGCCATGTCACATGCGTGAGGCCTGTGTTTCTGCTGGGATATGCTGCCATACGCACGTGGAAACCTGTCACGCACACACACAGAAGAGCAAATGAAGCCCCAGCTCAGTGCAAACAGATGTGAGCGCACCTCCTCAGCAATAGGCTTCGAGAGGCAAAACTCTGGCCGCGTGTTGTCGCAACAGTAGCAGACACACCTGATGTTGCGAAGGTTGAGGTTCGAAATTTGTCGAGATCGCATTCACATCCACATCGATGGCCTGCCGCTATCATCGACACGCGACAGTAAGCAGCGATCATGGGAAAGGGCAAGCTCCTCATGCACCGCCATGCACATGCGGCAATGCTTGCCTTGCAACAATGGGAATGGTAGTGCTGAGCTCGCTGCCCCACCGGCCGGGATAACCTCCTGCTCCAGGCGACGAACACACACCAAGGTGAAATTCGTCCTGGCAAGATGGCAGGTGTGAAACAATAATCAGAAGACTGCAATCAGAGTCGGCTGCACGGAGGCGTTGAACGTCGCGGTGCCGACATAGCGAAACCATGCTTTGTATTGACATACCAATGACCAGAACTGATGCACCTCTACTGCTTCTTGCTGTTGGCAACTGAGCACATTCCGAGTTTAGTTCCGACTGATGACATAAAATACCTAAACAACAATGTCTTCATTCGGGCTCCTTGAGAATTGAGCCGATCCGCTTGCCACACAGGTCGGAGCATCAACGCTCTAGGCACTTTATGCTTGACAGCACCTGAAGGATCTGCAGGATCTTGAAGGCACACGCACTTCATTCAGCATTTCGGACACAGGCTACAGCCTGGCCGCAGCGGATATCATCAGGGCCGCGCCAAGGCTCAGGCTTGGGTCCGCACTGATGAGAAACAGATCTTTGTGCCCACTTTGGGGCCCTTCACTCTTTGATGTCGGAGAGCACCCGAATAGCAAAGAGAGCAGTGAAGCTCACACGTTGGAATTGCATCCGGAACGCCAAACTTCCTAACTTGCACAAAACAATGCTGAGCTCCGTCTAATCACGATGACGCAACCTCAATTGACAAGAAGCTGCAGCAGATCTCAAAACATCCAGCCTTGCACACGGCACTTCGATGCCTAGAAACTTTTGAAGCTCGGCACGAAGGCTGGCTAGATGCGCCTGCAAGTCAAGAACGTCGACAAATACAGAAGCACCGGCAGCTCACCATGCCTCCTGGTGATGATTCTCCTGCACATATCGCACTAAATCATTCTGATGTTGAAAAAATCTTCTGTTGTGAACATGCTCGAGCACATGCTAGAGCAGCTATAGTGGTCCTCTTCCTGGTGCAAGTGCTCTGCGACATGACCTGGCGTCGCTACGAGAGAATCTGCTAAGCGCTACCTTTTAACAGTCAGGGACCTAAGACTCGTGTTTCAGTGCTGCTGCTGTCCGAAAATGACGTAAAGCAAACAAAACTCATGAAAGGTCAACAAGTTGCGAACTTTTTTGAAAGCAGCGACGAATCTGTGGAGCGTTCTTACACAACAGCTTGCAATAACACCACCAAAACCCGCTCATGACTTTTGGCTGCCACGCGCTGCCTGCCAACACCATGCTGATGGCCAACAAGTGGAACTGCCAGTCGCCGATGTCAAAACACCGGTCAATCCCGCGATGGTGGTTCAACGCTAGCCGCTAGCACGCGTGGCTACCACAGAGCTGCCCAGCCTTCGGCGTGTTGATCGGGTGCAAAAGCTTGTGCAGCTTGCTGCTGGAATGGCAAGCCTCTGCAGGCGTGCGTGCCGACGTTCCCTCCAGAAAATGCAAAGCCTCCAGCAGCCACTCCAAAGCATAGCCCAGGAGTCCAAGGTATCTGCACACGGCCACAACGCGACGACCAAGCTGAAATGTGCCTTAAACTGCACATTTGGTCCTCAGTCGAATCACCACTTTGGCAACAACTGCCCAAAGTGCAGCGAAGCCGGTCTGCACGGAATGCTCCCACAGCTGAGACATATTGCGTCGCGTGAAGCTGAAACATCCGGACACAGAACCTTGTTGCCAACAACGGCATGCGAGCCACTACCTTGCAGCAATCGCGCGTATTTGCTGAATCCAAACCTAAGAAACCTGAGAGACACACCAGACCCAGTCATTCTCAGTCACGCCCACACCACCGACCAAAACAAACCTTCAGATTTGCATCGCACATCCCAACACCAGGACATTCAGGCCACATGAACCACATCTTCAAATTGCGCCTGGAAGGCTTTCACGGAAATGCTCGCACAGCTTCGAGATCCAAAATGCGCAACAACGAAAAATGCAACACCTGGACGGTGTGCATGCTTCGGCAGTCTCAGGCAGCTAACTTCCACCGGGAACTTGCCTTGGAGATTGGTGCGCAACGAACTACCAAACTGCAAAAAGAAAAGACAGAAAACTTCATACTCCAGCGCTCCAAGTTCTCGCATCGAAAGCAAATACCAATGAGGCGAAATTTGACACAATGAGGTACAAACTCGCAGAAAACGGAAGTGCACTTGGGAGGCAAAGCCAAAAGTGAAACGCCTGACAACCATCAAGAAGTCGGCAATAGATTTTCGTAACGAAAAGTGGGTGCTACTGAGACGCGTCAAATTACGTCAGTTGCCGCGTGACTTGGGGCACTGTAGGCCTGCTTACCACAACAAACTCGTCAACTTCGTCAGGTCTTGCGGCACTGTAGCCACGCAATTTTCCGGACCTCCTGCAATGGGGCTCTGAGCTTTCGGGGACGTGGACTGCACCTCAGTCAGTCCATGACTTTGCACGTGAGAACATCTTCCTATCTTTCGATCGCATTAATTATTCTGCTGTTGCCAGTAGTATTTGCTCCTTTCCATGCTGTAGAAAAACGTTTTCCTTAGCACTGGTCCCACTTTCTTCTCAGAACAAATATCGTGGGGCATTCATTGATGACAACAAACGCTTACGGGCTGTTGCGGCCTCAAAAGAATCATAGCTCCCAACCATATTCATGTACTCGATGGAAATCATTCAGCTCACCACTCCCTCCAAGCTCATACACTGGTCTACTTCAAAATACGTCATCCTCCTTTTGCGACTGGGCCCATTGAAACAAAATGTTCCACTCTGGCGCTTGTTTCTAATGTTGTATCCTGATTAGTGGGAAAAAAACCCAAGAATTATTTAGAAGGATCTATTTGAGGAGAACCCGGAATTGTGAGAAAACGGGCGATGCAAAATTTCGGCAAGGCTGTCGAATGGTGTTGTCGTCCAGAAATCGCTTCTGAACTGAGCCTGAAAGATCAATCCCAGCAAAGCTTAAAAGCCTGAATCCCAGTCTGAAACAAAAATCTGATCCTGAGCAAAAGTTTAAACCCATAATTTTTTTTTCAAGCGGACGCCCCTTGCCACATCAGCAGCACAGTGGCCGGTCTATTGCGACGAAGTGAGACGGCCATGACTACCAGAAGCAGCCAAACAGCACAGAACAACACACAACACGCAAGAGAAAAGCGCAATCCAATCCTAAGGTGAAACATCCCTCTCTCAGAACACGAAGAAGTCGGAAGTGGACCCGCTGGCTTGACTGGCGCTGTGTTGGAGGAAGCGCAGAGTGCCAAGCATTTTGTTGTCGCCTCGGTGTGAGGCACGCGACGTCGATGCCGGCACTGAAGCTGGTCGAAGGGTTTTCCTGGGTGAGGTGTCGGACGCCACCTCACGACAGTTATGTGCTGTGTTGATTTTTTTTTGAACCGTCGCCTCTTCACTACATCAGCAGCGCAGTAGGCCGTTCTTGTGGGTCTCAACACTAGAGGTGAAACAGTCGCAGGCGCGAAAACCAAAGCAAACACACACCAAAACCACCACAAAACACAACCACAGAAACCCGCAGCAACCCGCCAAAACCAAAGCGCCAAACGTCTAGGTGTCCCCCGCGCTCAGTACTCGAAGTCGTCGCAGAAATCCAGGTGTAATCAAGCAGCGCAGAGCATGCGGGGGAGTCGCAAAATGCGAGAGTTTGCCAGATCATCAAAACCACCATCATGAAGCCACTGGTGCAACGAAGGTCAGCACGGAAAGCTGTAAATCGTAGAAGGACAGCGAAGTTACCGACCAACACGGGCAGGCACCAGGCACACAGTAGCGAAAGGTACAAAGTGGCCAACTTTCCCAGAGGAGAGGCAAGGCCAGCACGCGCCCCATGGTGGTCAGCCAGTGGGGACTTGTCAGCGAGAACAGCGAATGCAAGACCAGCCCAAGGCACCCCATGGTGGTCAGCCAGTGGAGCAACCCCGAGCAACAGCCAACACAACTTGCGGCTCTATTACTGAAGCCCGACCCAAAGTTCCCAATACCCAGGCGCACAACTGTGCCCAGTCCATCCACATACCCAAGTAGAACCTGGGGCCGCAGTCAGCAGAGCCCTCCGAGTTTCCCAGGGAGGAAGCCTGCAAGTAGCAACAGCTACCGATTCCGAGGGGAAAGACTACCAGACAGCAGTCAAACCTTAATGTGGCCTGCAGTAAGAGGAAAGGCCAGCGCGCGCCCCACGGTGGTCAGCCAGTGAGGACTTAACAGCAAGAACAGCGGATGCAAGACCAGCCCAGGGCACCCCATGGTGGTCAGCCAGTGGAGCAACCCCAAGCAACAGCCAACACAAATTGCAGTTCGATTATTGAAAGACCAACCCAGAGTTCCCAATACCCAGGCGCACAACTGTGCTCAGTCCGGCCACATGGCAATAAACAGGCTTGCGTCAACTCCTCCTCTTCGACTCTCACGCTGGGATGCCAGTCGGGCTGGTACTCCACATGCCGTGCCATTGAGGCTTTGGCGGAACGCCACATCGTCCGAATGGCCTCCTGAACTTGCCAATACTCTTCCGGGGACTGGAAGGGAAAGGTGGAGAGGGCAGCCTGTTGAGGCGTTGCTTGGTTGGATGCTTGGATTGGGTTCCCTTAAGGCTGCCCAATGGGCGGTGGCAGCATTATACCAAGCAGGCCGGGCACCGCCAGCATCAAGAGTTTAAGCCAAATGTACCTGTTCATTTAATGCCAATCCGGAAGGCTCTTGCTGCCTCCGTTGCAAACCAGGACTCTTCTGATACTGAGGAGGCTTCGTCTGCACCTATTACAAAGACACGAAGGCGGCAGATGAGTTTGAAGCTCAGGTGCATGATTGGCGTTTTTCGAAGCTGCGTACACTGACCTTGCGGCTTGCGAGAAGTGGATGGTTCCATCCCTTTTCGATTACCAGCCCTTAAGGATGAGCATTGGCAAGGACTTGTGCAACGCCGAACAAATATGGGCCCCAACAAGTGTTTGCAAGCCTTGAAGCAAAATCCGGACAAACGCATTAAAGCCAGGTTGCTGTGCAAACCTGGCGGTTTCCAGATTTGTGTGCTTGGCAGCCTCCGCCCTTCAAGGCCCCTGCGAGACCTGTCCGTGGACTTGGGGAGTTCTTGGGGGTCCACCGCATATTTGGCTGCAGGGCACGTGGGCAGCTAATATGCACGGGCGAGGAAAGCCACCATGGCTGCAGGAGGCACATTGATCTTGAGGAAGCCCAAGACTACAGGCAGCCCGGCTGCTCGTCCCAAGGGACCCTTCTGGTGAGACTTAAAGGCTAGCAAAAGGCCTCTAACCAGCAGTCTGGATCGAAGTAACACAGCAGAGCCGGAAAGCTGGCATTGCTGACCTCTGGCACATCTGCGACAGCAAAGAAAGATTAGCGATACTGGGCAGTAGTCAGAAACCCGCACCCGACCAAGGAGGATGGGCCCCCCCCCAGCCCCCCTTTAAGCCCCCCTTTCAGCCCCCCTTAAGCCCCCCTTCAAAGGGGTCCCTGCACAGGGGGTCCTTTGGGGGGGGGGGGGGGGGGGGAAAGGGTCAAAGCCCTTAAGCCCCCCCCCAAAGCCCCCCTCAAGCCCCCCCTTAAGCCCCCCCTTAAGCCCCCCCTTAAGCCCCCCCCCCCTTAAGCCCCCCCTTAAGCCTGCCAGCCCTTCTTTTGAAGCCCCCTTAAAGCCCCCCCTAAAGCTCCCCCCTGAAGCCGCAACCAAGCCCCCCCGGAGGGTTTCGGCAGCAGTTTAAGAGGCCTAACACTTGCTGGGCCTTTGGGCAGCAATTTAAGAGGCGTAATACTTGCTGGGCCTTCTGCGGAGGGTTTAGGCAGCAGTTTAAAAGGCCTAATACTTGCTGGGCCTTTTTTGGAGGGTTTGGGCAGCAGTTTAAAAGGCGTAATACTTGCTGGGCCTTCTGTGGAGGGTTTAGGCAGCAGTTTAAGAGGCCTGATACTTGCTGGGCCTTTTGTGGAGGGTTTGGGCAGCTGTTTAAAAGGCGTAATACTTGCTGGGCCTTCTGTGGAGGATTTAGGCAGCAGTTTAAGAGGCCGAATACTCGCTGGGCCTTTTGTGGAGGGTTCGGGCAGCAGTTTAAGACGTCTAAGAGGCTTAATACCTGCTGGGCCTTCGGTGGAGGATTTAGGCAGCAGTTTAAGAGGCCTAATGCGAGCATCGTGTTTGCAAATGGGGGGGGCTGCGCCCCCCCCCAACCCCCCCGCTTGTTTAAGCCGGGCAAACTCGCGTGGAAGCATATGAATCATGTCCAAAACAAAACAAAACAAAACATGGGGTTCTCGGCTTAGCCCCGCGCCACGTCACTGCTATGCAAATGGGGGGGGCTGCGCCCGTAAGATAGCGGAGGGCGCGGAGGGCGCGGAGCGCGCGGAGGGCGCGGAGCGCGCGGAGGGCGCGGAGGGCGCGGAGGGCGCGGAGGGCGCGGAAGGCGCGGAGGGCGCGGAGGGCACGGAGGGCGCGGAAGGTGCGGAGCGCACGGAGGGCGCGGAGGGCGCGGAGGGCGCGGAGGGTGCATGCGGAGGGCGCGGAGGGCGCGGAAGGCGCGGAGGGCGCGGAGGGCGCGGAGGGCGCGGAGCGCGCGGAGGGCGGGGAGCATGCGGAGGGCGGGAAGGGCGTGGAGGGCGCGGAGGACGCGCAGGGCGCGGAGCGCGCGGAGGGCGCGGAGGGCGCGGAGGGCGCGGAGGGCGCGGAGGTCGCGGAGGGCGCGGAGAGCGCGGAGCGCGCGGAGGGCGCGGAGGGCGCGGAGGGCGCGGAGGTCGCGGAGGGCGCGGAGGGCGCGGAGGCGCGGAGGGC